AACGCTGCTGCTTTAACTATTGTCGGTATTATCTTTCTCGCTTTTGGCATTGTGCTTACACTTGTGATGGCATTTGGAATTTTAAGCGAATGGTTTCTCAATTTTATTCCTGGTGCATTGCTCTTCTTAGCATCTCTTTTTATGTTAGCCGGATTGGCTGAAGGTGCTCGTTATGTAACTTATAACGGTTATTCAGCTAGTTTATATGAAACCGGTCATTTGTTAACGATCCTTTCTCTCTTCTTGAGTGCAGTAGCAGGTGGTCGTATCTCTCACGCATGCGGTGGTGGAAATTAAACATTCGAAATACATACTTTAAATAAATGAACTACATTTTTATCTTTTCTTTATGCTTTTTTCACAATCCTGTCTCATTCTGCTTTTTCATTTTCTAATTTTGCACATTTTGAAAAATAAATAAACAAAAAAAACGATACATTAAGTTTTAAGAGTAAAGTATTATTCATTGATTGAAAAGAGAAATGTAAAACACAACGTCATACTGTGACGGCGTATACATTTATATACTTTTGTTAATTCGTATAGGTTAATCAAAATATTTAATCATTGTGTAATGAATAAATTAAAAGACTCAAATATCAATATCATTCGAAAATTTAATTTGTTCTTTGAGTTGGTTATCTCATATTTTTATTTAAAAAAACTTCTTAGTCATAAATACTGAAATAAACGATTATGAGATATTATGTTGAGTATGTGTGTGGGTGTTCGATTTTATTCAAACCCACACCCTCAAGATGGTGAATCTCATTAAATATTGATTCACGCTGGTAATATTCAGTTCAAACGGTTTTCGGCTGATCGGGTTGACCAATATAGCGACTACCGATCGTCACCGCTACATCTCTAACTAACACAAAGAAGTATAATTGAATATATATATTTGCAAAAATAAAAAAAAATAATGTTGATTTGAGCAGTATCGTTGCTAAATAGCTGTGTTCGATAAAAATACTGACATAAATTTAAAAGTACTTTTTTTTGAATAATGCCACACTTGAATCTGATAATATATAAAAACAAAATATTTTTACTAATTATAAAGTTACTCTTTCTTCGTATATTATTTTCACATATCATAACTATCTATAATCAGAATAAATACACTACTTTAGATTATTTATACTTCATAATGTACACAGAATACATAAAATCTATGGAAGAATTCTATATAAAAGCATTGGATGTAAATAACATCACGTCAAAGATATATAATATAAAATATATATAATTCGAATGATTTTTACATACAACGCGCACATCCGATAGCAATATTCCAAAGAGTACTTATGCCAATTTTCAAATTAGATATTTTTTGTTCACTAGTTTTTGCTTACAATACTTCACTATTATTTTATATACAAATCTGACATTTGTATGATTAATATACGTCTAATCCCAATACTGACTAATTTATGATACGAGGGTGTAAAAGAAAAATCTGATATCTCTTGATATAATATGAATAATTGCAAGTGACATGACATACTGTGTATTGAGTGGCATTTCTATCGTCAACAGAGACTATTGATAAGGAATAAATAACAACGAGCGTATTTTCATGAGTAGTATATTGACAAAAAGAACAGAATATATACGTGTACTTCAGTTTATCTGGAAAACTCAAATTACTTATTGGTTTTTATTCCATACTTATCAATAACATGGCTTCGCGCTGGATAAATCATTTAATATTCATTTTTGTAATCTTATTTGTGGTGTCATTTACAGAATCACGTCGATGTCCGATGAATTGTACTTTTCAAGGATTGTATCTACACTCATCGATTTCTTCAGATTATTGTCCATCATTAAATCAATCTAATAATAATATTAATCAAGCTTGTGCAGTCAAACTAAGCATTGATTTTACAACAGGTCTTGTTAATGGATCATTTTATGTGGAAAATCAGTCATTATCCTCTTCAGATAAACTTAATATACTTTCAATTTTTTCTTTGAATAATACTTCGACAACAGTTGAAATAACTTATGTATGTTCTGTATCTGATTATTGCAATTTTGATTTTATTCGTGAGACATTATCGTCAGCATTGACAGCAGTAAAAATAGAACCTCTTCGACAAGAGCTTGCTACTCGTCTTTATAATCCAAACAATATCGGTCCCATTCGATGTTCAAATAATACATTATGCGCAGAAAATACTTTACTATGCAGTGGCGTATATATACGTACAAACAAAATATCTGGTGACCGATATGATAAATCCGGTGCATGTGCTAGTTCAAATAGCAATCCACAAGTTTACTTGATTCAAAGTTATGCTCCATATCAATCAGGGATCTCGAGTGATATTGGCGTCTTTTATTGTAATACTCCGAATTGTTCTTCGAATACTACAATAATCGAAACTTTTCAATGGCTAACTCAAAAATATATTTTACCTTTGAATTTCTCAGTAGTAAACATAACAACCACAATGTCACCGACAACATCATCTACAACACCATCAAATCATACAACACCTCTATGTGGACATTTCCACTATTTCATTCCATATATTATAATTATTCTTATTTTACAACAAAATCTTTTTCAAATTTTTCTCTAACGATTTTATGATTTGTGACTATTTTTTACACAAAATATTTACAAATAAATGGAAAAAATAAAGTACATGTTTGTCACGAGAAGTACTCTAATGAAAAAGATAGCGGTAAATATGTTTTTAATCTCCTTCAGAGAAAACAAATTGCCTTTTACTATTTCATTTTCTCATTACTCAATACTCTCTGTCCTTCTTATTTTCAAAATATTCAGAATTTCAAGATATTAGATTTTAATTGTGCGAAAAAGTAATACGAAAGGAATTTTTTTCTTTTTCTTGTTCCATCTTCTTATCAACTGTGCAAGTAGTACATATAATATTCATTTACTTAAATTTGATAAGATATATTTTTTGATTTGATTTCATAAAACATTAAAATATCAATTTTTTTCTTCTCAATGGAAAGGAAATGATTTGATTTGACATGTGGGATTATTGAATAGATAAAATAAAAAAAAATGTTGTCTTTATATGTTTTTATATGTTAGCTTAGCATAGACAATAGAAGACACAAAAAAGACAGAGTGAAGCGAACATTAGTTAATGATAGAAATAAAGTATATAAATATAATGAAGAGACATGAATATATTTTTCTTCTTCTATTTTATCGAGAGAGATGCTGATAATTTTTATCTAAACCACCATTAGATGATGCGGCAAAACCATTTGGTGAAATTGTTTGTTCAATAGGAATTTGAGCTTGAGATTGATTTACTGCTTGTTGTTGTTGTTGTTGTTGTTGCTGCTGTTGTGGATAGTACTGTTGAGCGAATATATTAGGATAATAGGGGGCGTAATACATATTTGGATCATAATTTGTTTGATTACCACCATTACCTAAATTAGCTGAAGCATATTGATTCCACGATGAAGATGAAGATTGTATATCATTCGATGGTATCAATGCTGATGAAGGTGGATAAGCACCTCCATAAATATTTCCAATTGATTGAGATGATGGTATACCGTATGATGGTTGAAGTTGATTGGGATAATTTGAATGTTGATAAGGTCCCTGTTGATTTATTCCATTTGGATTATAGATTGTTTGTCCTTGATTTTGTGAATAAACTGAAGATGACGATGACACTGAATTACCTAATGTACCATATATACTATTATTGCCATTCACTGTTGATAAACCACCATTATTTCCTAAGTAAAAATATCAATATTACATGAAGAAAATTTTTAACATCTTCGCAAAGTATTAACAGTAATATCTAATGATCGAGTTTGATCCTACGTATTATACATAAATAGTTTTTAGAAACTTATGGAAACTCAAATTAAAACGAATACATCTGGCTCTAGATATTAAAATAATGAAAAACACCCACATCCTAAGTAAATTACCTGTTGACCATTGTGATACTGAGCTGTTATTATTATTGTTATTAGTATTACTTCTAATCTCATTATTATTTGTATTCCAATACGATCCTCCATTACTTGCTCCTTGACTCCATTGATCAACCTAATAGAAAAAATACTTTAAATACAAAACATAATTAAATCAAATTACTTGTACAGGATAATTATTATTATTCGCTGTATAATAAGAATTTTGATTCGTATGAACACCCATTATTGATTGATGTGTCATTGAAGGAGCTGATATTGATGAAATCAATGTATTATTTAAATGATGTGGTAAAATATATTCTCCATATTGATATTGTTGTTGCATTTGTAATTGTTGTTGTTCATGAGGACGTGGCTTTGCAGGTCGAACTTCAATCGATGCACCATTTACTGAATGACGTTGTTGACGTAAAACTTCTTCTGCTGTTTTTTCTGATGAAAATGAAACAAAACCGAATGGACGACGAACATTTTTTTCTCGATCCATTGGCTAAAAATATTCGTAAATATAAAAAAAATACAAAAATAATTTCTTCTTTACAAGTTCAATTGTATCAACAATTCCAAATTGTGAAAAATATTCAGTTAAATCTTGCTCAATAAAACCAACTGGTAATTGTCCAATAAATATTTTTTTCACCGGATTTGTCACAGCTAATCAAACAAAACGAAATAATTTAGAATATTTCAATGATAAAAGCACAATGGAGTATAAAGACTAATTTTTTTTCAATCATAACTTAGTTCAGACATAACAGGGATATATTGTATAAATAAAAATTATATACAGTAATGTGATTATTATTATTATGAACTTCTATTCATTGTTTGTTTAATATCTCTTGAAAGAAAAATAACAAGGTTGATTACATAATCATTCGAACTGTAAAATGGGATCTGACAAAGATTAATGAAAAAAACAGAAATGATTCTACTCAGATTTTAGATATATGTAAATCCTACAGTTCCTAAAATATTGTCAGTTTTAAAGTTCCATGCCTCTGTCTTCGAATCAATCAAACTTCTATATTATTATTTTCTTTATCAAAGATATATTAAAAATATAATGAATAAAAATTCACAACACTAATAATCTTACTATCGGCTTGTCCGCAGGTAATGCACTCACGTTTTGACAACTTTCCATTCCATTTTCTCCGAAACAATTAAGCTTAGAGTCGCAAAATTTTGTGAATAGATGCACATTAATTGTGTGTTTAATGCCTAAAAGTTTCACCTCAATGGACGTGACAGTTAATGTTTTACAAGAAAAATAAACGCACTCACCGAAAAGGCCCTCTTTTTTTCGATGATGTCAGAAATGGTGAATTGCCCACAAATGGTTAGGCTATAAAGAGATACGGCCGAGTGCAAATTTGTAGAGGAGACTCACAGCTATCTACTGGGAATAGGCGTTTTCAAAAATATTGTGTTGTTTAAGAGCTGTAATAAAAATACTGCGGTAAAGCACTCACTTTGGTTTTCGAGACTTTTTGAAATCAATATTTTTGCAACCGTAACAACAATAAAAGGCAATCTGCTGATGCCAAACTGTAGTTTGAGATTCAATATTACTATTAATATATCCACTTTTGTCAGAGATAAAATAGCGTTCGAAATATGATAACAGACAAAAGTGGGTTTTCAGGCTTTTTTTACACAAAAATGCCTCGCTTTGGCTGGCTGCTACCACTTCTTCACGCAGCTTTCAAAAAATAACTAGATAGATCGACGTAGAACATTCGAAAACCTACTTCAAAACTTTAACTGAATGTGATGGGTCGTTTTCTGTCCGGGATTTTCAGTGCTCGACTTCAATCATGCTGGTTGACCGTTAGCCGGACAAGCCGCTATACAACTTTTATACTCATTTGAAGCAATATTGAACATCAATCTTTCAATTATATAGAGGTGAATATTTTTAAAAAAATCGTTTTAGATTCTCAAGAAATTTTTCATTAGCTAAATTCTTATAAATAACTAACGTGGTCGTCGATGTGCTGGTTTCGGATCAATTTGACATTGATTTATTGTATGTACTTGAGCATTAAGAACTTTCTGTATTGATTCTTTTTCATCAAATAAAATAAAAGCAAAACCTCGTGCTCTTCCACCGGGAACATCATATTTAATCGTAACATCTTCGATTGAACCAAATTTCGAAAAATATTTTTCTAAATCTTCTTTAACTATATCCGATGATAATTGTCCAACAAATAATTTTCTTTCATCATCTGGCTTTGGAACTTTTCCATCAAGAATTAAATTGATTGTTTCTTTACAATTATCATTATCATTATCATTATCATTATTATTCGATAAAAATTCTTCTTTTTGATTATCTAAATTATCATTTAATGAATCATTATTTGTTTCAGATGATAATCGTTGATCATCATTTGAAATTGTTTGACTATTTATCATTCTAATTTAAACAAAAATTTTATTTTAGAAAAAATTAAATTTAAATAAAACTTACGTTAATATTTTTTTTCTATAAATTGTTATAACAAAACAAAGGTTTTTATTTTCTTTTAAAAATTTTGATCCATTCTCTAATTATTGTTTAATATAAACCATCTAAAATGATAGTTTAGTTTCGTTTTGTTTTTCATTAATAACCATCATTAAATAGTCAAAAAAGAGAGAGAAAACCCGATGAAAGAAAAGAAAAATATTTCACACCGAGAAGAAAAACATAAAGTAAATATACATATCAAAAGAAAGAAACAACATCGGAGTCATTCAAAGATCAACTAATTTCGAAAGAGAACGATTTTTATTATCATCTGATGATGTACTACAATTGGAATTTGTTCCATAAAGTATTGTATCATATTGTTGAACTTTAATAACACCCACACCACCGCCCAATCGACGACAATTCATTCCTCCATGTAATTTCCAATTATTTGTTTCATTATCATATAATTCAACACTTTTTAAATATGCTGCACCCTAAATATAGATTTTTACTAGTAATCTTAAGAATTAATTGATTAAGAAAATTATTTATTATATCAGTCATAAGACCTCATCACAGAGATGAAACCGGTACCGGTAACCGGCCGGTTCGGTACCGGTCCAAACTTTAGACCGGTATTTACCGGTCTGCCGGTCTACTGGTTTCTTACCGGTCTGCCAGTCTATCGGTTTCTTACTGCCCTGTTTTCTGTTAAAAGCTTTTTTTTTCCGAAAAAGAATTTTTTTACCGAAAATTTACCTGTACTCCCCTAGAGGGATAAGATATGAACATTGTTAGCAGTCAAGTTTAGTATAACATCCGCTCAAATCGAATGAAATTAACGACTTTTACACTACTGATTTTTACCGGTCTACCGGTTTCTTACCGGTCCGGTCCGGTCTAAAAGTTTTACACGGGTACCGGTACCGGTCGTCAAAAAATCGGACCGGTTTCATCTCTGCCTCATCAGACTTTACTATATTTCATGAAGAAACTTTCGATTGTTTATCTTTAGTCAACTTACGTCAAATCCACCTATAGCCATCAAATTATTATTAACAACAGCTAATCCAACCTATTTGAAAATAAATAAAAAATATGGCTAAATATTGAATTAAAATTCTTACTCCACTTCGCCTTGAATTCATTGCAATAACAGGTGACCATTGATTCGTTTTTGGATTATATCTTTCAGCTGTTGATAATTCAGTAGAATCATCTCGACCACCGACGGAATCTATTTGATTTATTTTAAAAAAAAAAACAAATTCAAATTTTAATCAAGAACAAAGAAATCAAACATACAAATAAATCCATTATAAACAGCACAACCAAGATGTTTTCGACGTGTTGTCATTGGTGCTACTGATGTCCATTTATTTATTTTTGGATCATAACGTTCAACTAAAAAAAAAAAGGCATTTTATGTAAATATTGTTTTTTTTTCTATAAAGAATAAAAGATAAATTTACCTGTATTGAGTGGAGATTGTCCATCTGATCCACCAATAGCATAAAGATATCCATCAAGTACAGCAACAGCTACACCTAATCGTTTCGTACCCATAGATGCTACACGACTCCATTTTTGAGTTATTGAATCATATCTTTTTATAAAAACATAAAAAATAAATTTTTCAAAAAACAATCTTTTACTTTTCGACAAGACTTAAACAAGAAATACCATCTTGTCCACCAACAGCAAAAAGACATCCATCAAGAACAGCAACACCAACACTTGTCCGACATGAACTTGTAGGTGCTAAATCATGACACCATTGATTTGTTTGAACATCAAATCTAAACGAAAAATTATATAATAAATAAATATATATTTTCCTGTAATTATATTTACCGTTCAACACTGTTCAAATAACTAACACCATCATGACCACCAACAGCATATAAAAGATTATTAAGTACAGCAACACCTACACCACATCTTCGTTTTGACATTGGTGCTACAGTTCGCCATTCATTATTTGATGGATCATACATTTCAACACTTGCTATTGCATCACCAGAACACCAACCACCAACTATTTTTATACAAAAAAAACAAAATCAAATCTAATTATCTAAAATGAAATAACAAACCAGCAAGAAGAACTTCAGATGTTTTTACTGGTTTTCTTCTTCTTGTTCTTGGTCCTTGCATACTTGATCGTTCTTGTGGTAATAATAAATAATCTTTTGCTTCATCAATTAAATCTCGACAAGTTTGATCTGCTTTTATTAATGGATCTGAACCAACTGTATTTACAAGAAATCGAGCAGTCATTAATGGAAATCGAACATGTTCTAATATCTAAATAAAATTTTTTTTATTTATTTAAATTAATATTAAAAATTTACTTTAGGTAGAAAATGTTTTCTTTGTTGAACATCACATGAAATCCAATGCATAACAGCATTAAAAACATCTTCTTCTGATGTCATATTTAATTCATCACTTGATATAATATCAATTAATTGATTTATTGGTAAAAATAAAAATTCTTCACTTTCTTTAACATCAATAAAATGTTGTTGAGTATAATGATCAGCAATACGTAAAAGTTCTCGACATGAATGTGTATCCGCAAATGCGCGAATACCTAAACAATTTGATGGATCAAGTTGTTTTTGAAGAAATTCACAACATGTTATTTGAACTTCTTCAATCTAAAATAAATTTATATTTTTAATTAAAACATATTTTACACAACAAAATAATACTCGAAACAATCTTTCATTTCTTTTCTTTTTTTCTCCTTCGTTTTATCAATGAAGGTACAAAGAAAAAGTATATGTAATTACCTATTAAAATTCTTTTGATAGGAAGTAAAACATTCGCCACTCATAGTTAACAGAACACTGAATCATCTAATATATATATGTGTATGATAGTTTTAATATAAAATAATAGTTAATCATTTTCCTTTCGTGTACTTTGTTCGAGTTATTTCGAAACAAAAAAAACTAGATATTTTAAGATTTTATTTGCTCTTTCTTTATCTTCAAATCTTGACTAATAAAATCATTTATGTCATAAGTTAAAAGGAAGACAAAGATAAAGCCAAGTTGCTTTCTAACAGAAATAATTTATTATAATAATAGAAAAATTCTCATATGACTGATGCCAGTTCTTAGTAAGTCTAGGATGATCTAATAAAATCCCTTTAGTTTTATTATAAACTGTGTCCAATGTATAAAATATGGATTCTGATGACTAAGGATAGTTATAGAATCTATCGACACTTATCGATTTGTCGATTTTTAAAGGTTAACTAAATTATCTTTCTTAAGTGCTAATAAATCTTATCTGATTTCTGAATTCGTTTTCTTTTCCTTGAATTTCAATATTTCTTTCGAAGATATCACTCACCGTAGACACATCTGTACTCAATAAACCTTAGTAGTCAACTGATTAGATAACAATGAATAAAAGCATAGGACATATCATTTTCTATTTAAGTTTAATGTATCCGGAAAGAAAAGGTAATTTCAATAATATTTAATATATTTTTACTTGAAGAATACAAGCTGCTGGTAATAACGTTTGTACATTTTTTTCATCAACAACAATTCTTGATGTATAACAATAATCAATCAATAATTCCATTGCACATTCATCAATATCATGAATAATTATTTCTGTTTGTCGACTTTCAGCTAATTCACCAGTAAACATTGCTTTAAAATAAGGACTACATGCTAAAGAAAATAAATATATATATATATCTATAGAAATTAAAAATAAAATATTTCTACCAGAAAGAATTGCTCGATGAGCAGGAATTTTATTTTGACCAAGAATTAAAATCACATCACATAATTCTTTTTGTTGTCTTAATAAATTTAAATTTTCTAATAAAAATTTTGCGTGTTTATCTGATGTTTTCACAAGTTTATTATTACAAGGTGAGCAATCTTTAAGCATATCTATTGTTGTACTACTACTAATTTCATTTTGATTATTACGAATTGTACTAAAAAAAAAAGAATTCAAATTATCTTTTTGTTTTCTATCATTTATATTCATAAATAAACAAACCAAGTTTTGCCTATCAATGAAGGCGATTGTGTTGTGTCCATCCTCTCCATTTAAATTATTTTATAAATATTTTTAAAATTATACATATTTTTTATTGAAAAGAAGAAGAAGAAGGAGAAGAAGAAGAAGAAATCATGAATGACTAACAGACAAACAACAAACAGTTTACAATACGGATGATGATAATGGTTATATTCATGTTTAATGGCCGATCTAATGGATTGTAGCGACATTGTCAAATAATTCGAAGATATTTTTAATTAATATTCATTCTTGAGTATTTTTTTTTCTTTATAAATATTCATTTTGAATTAATAATACAAAAAAAAAAATAAAATAGAATAAATAAAAGATTTGACTGAAATATTTCATTGGTTCATATTATTCATTCCAATAAATGTTCTTTTATTTGAGACAGACTAATCGATATAATATGATGTATGATGTCATTTTATCCAACTATTCCTATATTGAGCAGAATAAATATTATTTTTCTTATTATAACAATATTTATTAATAGCTTTTATGGGAGAAAAAAGATGAGGAATCAAATTTAAATGAAAATATATATAAAATTTACTTTATGCCACCTATTTGTGATGTGTTACGTTACGAATCAAAGCAGTTTGTACATGATTCGAGTGTAAAACACTGGAAAAAAATTAATTTCCTCATGACACGACCTAAGTTTAGAAAAAAAAGTTTTTTATCATTCAACTGCTTTAAAGATTGATCTTTCGTGTAATCGATGCGTTGAGAAATTTTTGTTTTTGTAACAAATTGTGTTCTGTCAAAAGTTTCTATTACTTCTGACAAT